ACACACACACACACACACACACACACACACACACATACACACACTTACGCACGTATACGTACATACAAAAATACTTCTCCAACGATTCACAAAGTACAGCACATGTTTACATATTATTACATTTGTCCAATATATGGAGCAGCGAACATTTTCAATCACATTTTTTTTCCTTAGCGAACCTTAGCGACTAAGATGTTACCCTTCAATGATTTCCTATGCTTCGCGTGGAGTCCCCACCCAACCACACCCACGTTCAGAACAATTAGCTATTTTTTTGTTTGGCTATTCTCCGGCTCACTGCCCAATGCTGTAACGTTAGATCTCACCACGCCCTACTCCATCCCACGCGAGAGTCCAATCCACCCCAAGGAGGTACTATACAGTTAGTTGTAAGTGGTCCTTGATCCATAGTTTGTCACAGGCCCAGTTTGTCACAGGCCTCGACTGTGTCTGTCTGTCCCCGTCGTTTTATGCAAGAAAAATTCTGAAATTATGCAAATTGACCTAAAAATGTGAAATTATGTGATTCTGTCAATTTTAACAAAGAATGATAAAGGAAAATAATCAGAAATTATGTTATAAAATGATTAAATTTTGCTAAATTATGCGAGGTGCATAAACCACGGGGACAGGACTGTGCCCTGCATGATGGAAGTTATCACTGACACTCTCAAAAAGAGACAATGAATGATTGACTGATTGTATGAATTAATTTATTATTCAGTTATAATTTTTTTAAAGTAAAGAACATTCAGTGTTGAAAATTTGCAGAGTAATTTGCTTTGATTTGCATTAAAAAAGGAAGAAATGTTGAACAACACAAGCCGAATTGACATTTTAGAGGGACTATCTCTTCACCACCAATTTGAAGGTGGAGAATAAAAAAACTTAAGTTACAACTACAGTGTTAAAGTGCTGTAATTATGACTGTCATCAATTCTCAAATAACTAACTGAAATTGTGACAAACTGGGCAGCCCCCCACCCTATACCTCCAACCCATCCCGACAAAAGAGACCCAATCATTCCAGCTCCTGCATGAGAGCTCCATTCCACCCACTTTGAGCGCAACCTATAGGCCTTCTCAGAAACTGAGAAAGCCTAGAGCCTATACGTTCTTATACTGACCGTCTAGCCTTGAGTGCAACCCATTCTTCAAAAGTCCTAATGTCCTAATTAATTAACCAAGGGTGTCTGAGTAACGCCGCGTAATCAAGCCGGGGGG